TCACAGGTCCCACAGGTTCCACAGGTCCCACGTGTCCCAGATGTCCCACAGGTCCCATAGGTCCCACGGGTCCCGCAGGTCTCGAAGGTCTCGCCGGTCCCGCAGGTCCCGCAGGTCCCGCAGGTCCCACAGGCCGCACAGGTGCCACAGGTGCCACAGGTCCCGGAGGTCCCGCAGGTCCCGCAGGTCCCACAGGTCCCACAGGTCCCTCAGGCCCAACAGATCCCACCGGTCCCAAGGTCTTGCAGGTGTCACAGGTCCCGCAGGTCCCACAGGTCCCACAGGTCCTACAGGTCTTACAGGTCCCACAGGACCCACAAGTCGCAAAGAAGGTGCCAAAGGTCCCACAGGTCTCGCAGGTCCTACAGGTCCCACACGTCCCACAGGTCCCAAGGGTCCCACAGGCCTCGCGGGCCCCACAGGTCCCACAGGCCCCACAGGTCCCACATGTTTCACATGTCCCATAGGTTCCGCAGGTTCCGCAGGTCCCGCGTGTCGCGCAGGTCTCGCAGGTCCTGCAGGCCCCGCAGGCCCCGCAGGTCCCGCAGGTCCCACTGGGTCCCACAGGTCCCACAGGTCCTACAGGTCCCACAAGACCCACAGGTCCCGCAGGCCCCACAGGATCCACAGGGTCCGTATTTCCCACAGGTCTCGCAGGTCGCGCAGGACCCGCCAGTCCCGCATACTCCATAGGCCCCGCAGGCCCCGCAGGTCCCACAGGTCCCACATGCAGGTCCCGCACGTCCCACAGGTTCCGCAGGCCCCACGGGTCTTACAGGTTTTAAAGGTCTCGCAGGTCCCGCATGTCCCGCAATTCCCACAGGTCCCGTAGGTCCCAGAGGACCCATAGGTCCAACAGGTCCCACAGGACCCGCAGGTCCCGCAGGTCCGCAGGTGCCACAGGTCCCACAGGTATGAATGACCCCACAGGTTTCACAGGTTCTCGCAGGTCCACCGGTCGCACATGTCCCGCAGGTCCCGCAGCTCTCACAGGTCCCACAGGTTCCGCAGGTCTCCCAGGTCCCTCAGGTCCCACAGGTCCCACAGGCCCCCCGGGTCCCACAGGTCCCGCAGGTCCGACAGGTCCCGCCGCCAGCACAGGTCCCACGAGTCCCACAAGTCCCGCAGGTCGCGCAGGTCCCACAAATCCCGCAGGCCCAGCATATCCCACATGTCCCACAAGTCCCACATGCCCCACATGTCCCACAGGTCCTACAAGTCCCGCAAGCCCCGCAGGCCTCGTAGGTCTGGCAAGTCCCGCAGGCCCCGCAAGTCCCAGTCCCCCCAGGTCCCACATGCCCCGAAGGCCCCACAGGTCCCACAGGCCCGATAGGGCTTACAGGTCCTACAAGGGCCACGGGGTCCGCAGGTCCCGCAGGTTCCGCAGGACCCGCAGGTCCCACAGGTTTCGCAGGTCGCGCAGGTCCCGCATGTCCCACACGTCCCACAGGCGACGCATGCCCCACAGGCCCCTCAGGCCCTACAGGTCCCACAGGCCCCACAGGTCCACCCAGCCCCTCCGGTCCCACAGGTCCCACAGGTCCCACATGTCGCGCCGGTCCCGCAGGCCCCGCAAGTTCCGCAGGTCCCACGGGGCCTACAGGTGCCACAGGCGCCACAGGTCCCACTGGTATCGCAGGTCCTGCAGGTCCCACAGGTCCTACGAGTCCCTCAGGTCCTACAGGTCCGACAGGTCAGGCAGGTGTCGCAGGTGGCGCAAGCCCCGCAGGTCCCACAGGTCCCACAGGTCTCGCAGGGACGACAAGTTTTGCAATTTCGAAGGCCCCACAGGTCCCACCAGGCCCACGCGTCCCACAGGTCCCAAGGGTCCCACAGGTCTCGCAGGTCCCTCAGGTCCCACAGCTACCGCAGCCCGCACAGCTCCCACAAGTTCCACAGGGCTCACGCTCCCAACATTTCTCCCAATTCCGGCAGGTTCCACAGGTCCCGCAGGTCCCACAGGTCACCTTTGGTGTTATTAAGATGGTTCCTGGGGTGATGTTTGCAAGGCGAAGGCGCGTGTAATTGCATGCGCTGCGCGCAGTGCAGAGTGAACCGTGAGTGCAAGTGCGAAACGCTGCCATGTAAATTTGGGATTGCGCCCGTCCTGGAATCTTTTTGTGAACTTGCGGTTGCGGTGGTTTCCATCGTGGTCACAGCGGCGGCGCCCCCTCGCCGCCCGGCCCGCCACCCTCTCGGCTGAGGCGCGATGGCGGCGCCGTTCTCCCGCCTTTGTCCTGTGCCTTTGTTTTTTCCTGACCATCCTGTGGTGTGGGGCCCTCGTTTTGAAGAGGCAGCGCCGCGCGTCTCGCTCCTGCCTCCCGCCGCCCCCTCCCTCCTCCCATCCTCCCCCACCTTCTCTCCTCCCCTCCTCCCATCCTCCCTCTCCCCCTCCCTCCTCCCATCCTCCCTCTCCTCCCTCCCCTCCTCCCATCCTCCCTCCTCCCATCCTCCCCCTCCTCCTCACCTCCCCCACTCTTGGCGCACCCCTCAAAGGTTTCGTGGCCCCGTAGTTAGGGAGCTCCACCGGAGGCCACAGTGGCTGCGCTCGCGTGGCACCGCCGCGCCCATTTCGGCACACCCCTCACGCGCTTCGTGGCCCCATGGGGGGCTCCACCGAAGACGATACCCACAATTGCGTTCAGTTGCATGTGTTTGGGTCCTTCGCCCGCATAGTTTTGTTTATTTGTTTTTCTCTCTCTCTCTCTCTCTCGCGCGCGCCTCGGTTTTTCTGTTGTTGTTTCTCTCTCGATCTCTCTCTTTTTCTCTCTCTCTCTCTCTCTTTCTCTTTCTCTCCCTCTCCCCTTCCTCCTAAGTATTGTTTTTTTATATATATTTATTTATATATATATACATATAATATATATATATATATATATATATGTTGATGTCTCTCTCTCTCTCTCTCCTCTCTCTCTCTCTCTCTATCAGTCTCTGCATCTTTTTCCCAACCATCCTGTGGTGTTGGGTTCTCGTTTTGACGAGACGGTCCCCGCGTTCCTCCTCCTTCTCCTCCTCTCCTCCTCCTTCTCCTCGCCCTCCTCCCTCCCGTTCGCATGCCTCCATTTCGGCACACCCCTCACACGTTTCGTGGCCCCATAGGAGCTCCACCGAAGGCCCCAGTGGCTGCGTTCGCATGCCTCCCCACCACCCATTTCGGCACACCCCTCACACGTTTCGTGGCCCCATAGGGAGCTCCACCGAAGGCCCCAGTGGCTGCGTTCGCATGCCTCCCCACCACCCATTTCGGCACACCCCTCACACGTTTCGTGGCCCCATAGGGAGCTCCACCGAAGGCCCCAGTGGCAGGGTTCGCATGCCTCCCCACCACCCATTTCGGCACACCCCTCACACGTTTCGTGGCCCCATAGGGAGCTCCACCGAAGGCCCCAGTGGCAGGGTTCGCATGCCTCCCCACCACCCATTTCGGCACACCCCTCACACGTTTCGTGGCCCCATAGGGAGCTCCACCGAAGGCCCCAGTGGCACGCATGTTCGGGCATCGTGGCCCCATCCCCCACCGCATTTTCGGCACACCCCTCACACGTTTCGTGGCCCCATAGGGAGCTCCACCACCAAGGCACACCCCTCACAGTGCTTTCGCATGCCTCCCCACCACCCATTTCGGCACACCCCTCACACGTTTCGTGGCCCCATAGGGAGCTCCACCGAAGGCCCCAGTGGCTGCGTTCGCATGTTCGGCACACCCCTCACACGTTTCGTGCCCCATAGGGAGCTCCACCGAAGGCCCCAGTGGCTGCGTTCGCATGCCTTTCGGCACACCCCTCACACGTTTCGTGGCCCCATAGGGAGCTCCACCGAAGGCCCCAGTGGCTGCGTTCGCATGCCTCCCCACCACCCATTTCGGCACACCCCTCACACGTTTCGTCGCCGCTCCACCGAAGGCCCAGTGGCTGCGTTCGCATGCTCCCCACCACCCATTTCGGCACACCCCTCACACGCTTCGTGGCCCCATAGGGAGCTCCACCGAAGGCCCCAGTGGCTGCGTTCGCATGCCTCCCCACCACCCATTTCGGCACACCCCTCACACGTTTCGTGGCCCCATATGGAGTTCCACCGAAGGCCCCAGTGGCTGCGTTCGCATGCCTCCCCACCATTCATTTCGGCACACCCCTTCACACGTTTCGTGGCCCCATAGGGAGCTCCACCGAAGGCCCCAGTGGCGCGGTGCCTATGAGAAGAGGGGCCTAGTTTGCGTGCCCCCTCCTTCGTCTCATATCCGTGCGGTACTCGCAGCTGCATATGGTTGGGTCCTTCGCCAGGCTATTTTTTTTTTTTTTTCTCTCTCTCTCTCTCTCTGTATCTCCGCCTCTCTGTCGCCCCATATGCGGTGGGCTCAATCCGAGCAGCGCGCCCGGTTGTAAGCTGGCCGGGTGTTTCGCTCCAGGCCTACCGTGCCTCTGTAACCGTGGGCATCACTTTTTCAGGCCACCGCTTCCACGCGGTCGCCGAAAGACATGGCGCCTCATCGCAAACTGGGCCTCGGGTGCGGAACCAGCCGCCCCGTCTCTCCCGCTTTGTGCTGTGCTGCTGCTGTCGGCGTGTCGGTCTCTCGCCCCAGCAGGCGCAGCTCCCGTCGGTTGACGACTCGAGCGACCCTGCCGGAGGCTCGCTGGCCAGCTGCGCGAGAGAGCGGCGTCCAGCCGCCATGGTGTGGGCAGCCTCCAGCCAGTCTCGAAAGGGGCCGCCCCTGCAGTCAGGGATGTTCGCGGTTTGCACAGGTAGACGGACCCGCTGCGAATAGAGCCGATTCGCTCCCATACCAAGCACCAGAAGCGGGGTTTGGAGGACCAGCAGGAACAGGGACAAACGGACAACAGATGTCTCATGTCTCCTCCAGGCATCTGGTAATACACAAACTCGTGCTCCGAGATGCGCCCTCATTTTCTTGTCGGATTTGCTTTGCGCTACCATTCGGCTGTATGGGGCCTTCGGGGGACAGCATGCTCTTTCTCTGCAGTCCCGCGCCCGCGCACCAGTCTTACTTCGTGGAGTGCGTCGACCACCTCAAGGACGCTGGCTTCCTGCCCTTCGTCCTGCTCCCCCGTGTTTCCTCCGCCGGCCCGCTGTCCCTCTTTGTTTCGCAGACCTAGAGGTTGACACCAACACCAATGTCGGCGGTGTGCCTCCACCGACTGGCGATGGTGGTAATATTCTGGTTTCCCAGGTGACCAAAATATTTCCACCAACACCGACATCTAGGATCATCTTACCCCTGTGGAGGCAGCCCCCTATGTAGGTGTTGGTGCTTATTTCCAGTCCTCCAACTGTTCCCTATGTTTTCTGCCCCAACCTGTCCTGAGGAGCTTGAGGTCCCGCTGGTACGGTGCGTTCGCTTCTTGTCGACTGGCCGCGATCCCGCCGCCAGCGTTCAATCTTCAGCCGCGCCGGCGACCCGGAATCGTTTGATGTTGGACGACCTGGCGTTTCGGAAACCGCCGATCGTTCAAGGCTGAACGATCCCCGCGGCGTCCGAAACCAACGCCAGGGTCGACGCGACACAAACTTGCTGTACTCTTCATCTTGTTCTCCGTTTTTCGACAGCGACGACGGCGATGGAAACGCCGCCGCCGACGACGGCGACGACAGCAGCGACGATGAGGACGGCGATGGCGATGGCGATGGCGATGGCGATGCCCACGACGACGATGGCGACGACAGCGGCGACGACGACGACGGCGACGATGGCGATGGCGACGCCGACGACGACGGCGACGGCGACGACGACGAGGACGATGGCGACGGCGACGACGACAACAACGATGGCGACAACGGCGATGTCGACGGCGTGTTATTTCGCCTACAGTCTCCCCTACCCCTTCCCATTGCAATCCTGTGCCCCCAGCGCTGGGTGCTGCCACATCGAGACATCGAGGGATTTCCTTGGCCAGGGGGCGGAGTCCAGTGGAGAGCATTGAACGTGGTTCGCAGATGGTCGACGCAGGCTTCCCTCTTTCAGTTTGCCGCAGAAGCGGCAGGGCCGTGTCTTCGCCGTTCCCGAAAGATGGTGTCCCTTGAGCGTGGAAGCGGTACTTCGAACAGCTGCTCTGGGATCGCCACCGAAACCAGAGCCGGGCGAGACAACGGCGACGCACCAGATCCATCAAGGGCTTCCACCTGGCGACGAACCAAGCCAGATGCAGTCGTGAGTGCCAGCGTCGTGAGCATCGCGGGGCGGCGCAGCGCGTGATGAGGCGTGCCGAAGTGGGGCGGGGCCGTCGTGCGGGCGCTGCCCCAGGGGGGCCGCAGGCCCTATGGGGCCACGAAGCGTGTCCGGCGTGCGTGCCGAAGTGCGGTCCCGCTCGTGCTTCAGAAGCCTCCCGGCGGAAGGGCTGGCCCGGCGCTTCTCGACCAGCTCGCCGGAGAGCTGGCTCAGTTTCTGAAGGGGGGTGGTAGCCTTGGATCCCAGAGATGAATCGTGTACGTCCTTGGCTCCAGAAGCTGGCCCAGCGCTTCCTTACGACACTTCCGAAAAGCTGGCCCAGCTTTCTTCATTGATTGTTTCCTTAATCATATGTTTGACTGTACTCTGCAATCCCTTTGCTTCCACTGTGGCGTCCACAGAATGTCATGCCTGGCTGTCTTGTGCAGGCGATCTTGCCGGTCGTCCCACGCCCTCCGCCGCGGGGTCTCCCCCGCCGCCCGAAGGCTGCCTGTGGTGCCCTCTTCGTTGAGGGCTGGAACAGGGCCTGCGACCAGGGAGATGGGAAGTGCCCCAGGACGAGGACACACAATCCCCGCGGCTACGACGAATTCAGCCGCGACTTCCTGTGAGATCTGGCCGAGCTTCATCACAACATCCGCACCCTCTGCCAGCACCGCAACCTAGAAGTCGACTGGAACGCGGTCTGGCAGCAGCAGCAGCAGAACCGCCAGAGCCAGGCAGCTGGAGGGAAGGGCCAAGAAGGAAAAAGCGCCCCAGCGAGGCATCCTGGCCCACTGGTGACCAGTCCCAATTATGTGGGCTCTGATAGCGCCAGACCTACGACAACGGCCCAGCCTCGCTTCCTGGGCCCACGGTGCATATCTCCGACCCACCTGGCCTGTGACCGCAGCGGGGTGCCTTCCACCCCAGGAGGTGCCCCGCGTCTCTGATCCACCTGTCTGGGCACCTGTCAGGTGCGCTTCGCTCAGCGCGCCTCCCACCGCAGCTGGCGCGCCGGACTCCGTCCCCCAGGCGCGCCTGGCCACTGCAGGCATGCCCCAGCTTCTGTTCAACCTGTCTGTGCACCGGCTAGGTGCGTTCTCACGGGCGCCTTGCCCACCCCAGTTGACGCGCCCTTCCATACTCTTGGCGCGTCAGCCACCCAGGTGACGTGCCTTCCGCCCGTCCGCATTCCGGCGGCTTCCACCTGTCTGCGCACCAGCCAGGTGCGTCTCACTCTGCGCGCCGTCCACCCCAGGTGGTGCGCCCTGTTCCCTCTGCGGGCGCGGCACCCCACCCAGGTGCTGCGCCGTGCGCCGGCCGAGGCCTGGCCCAGCTCGCGGCCCCCTGTCGGCACACTGGCCGCGCGCTCCCGGCTTCAGCGCGTGGCGCGCCGGCCGCCCCTGGCTGTGCGGCCCCTCCCACCGCCCGACGCCGAGGCTCCGCGACGCGCGCTCTGCCTCGCGGGCCGCACTGGCCCCAGCCCGGTTGGCGCACGCGCCGCCCCACAGGCCATGTGCCCAGCAGGTGGGCACTTGCCCATGCCCGGCAGCTCGTGCTGCCCCTCCTTGGGGGGCGCCGCCGCTGCGTCGCCCTCCGAGTTTGCCCTCCGGCCACCCGCCGGGAACCGTCGCCCAGCTCCCGCTTCCGCCAGGCGCCGCCCTGTCTGCCCATGGCTGCGATGCGTGCGCCGGCTCTGCGCTCGGCCCGCTGCCTCTCTGCTCTCCCCCCCGACGCCCCTGGCCCTCTGCGTGGCCTCAACGGGCCGCTCTGCGGCAGCCCGACGCTTGGGCTCTCTCTGGCCACCCGGCTTCGCCCGGCCCCTTAGCCCCGCCGCTCTCGTCGCCTCTCTCTCCCCGCGCCGCGATCGCGCTTCGTCGCGCTTCGTATCCGCCACGCCGCACCAGCGCAGGGCCACACGCCCAGCCCTTCGCAGCAGTCCCGCGCAGCCACCTCCAGCACCCCCTCACCGCGCCCCCGGCCCGCCACCTTGGCGGCCTGCCGCCCCTGCAGCGCCTTATTTGCTTGGCACCGCCCTGCGCTGCGGCCGCGGGCTCCTCCCCTGGGTGCGCCCGCGACGCCACTCCGCTTTCGCTGCCAGGGGCTACCCTGCGGCCCCGCCGCCCCGCGCGCCCCCCCGCGGCTTCGCCGCGAGCCCTCTTTTTGTCCCGCCTTTTGCCTTCTGTCTCCGCGGCCGCCCCTCGTCTTCTCCCCAGCCTCTTGCAGGCGGGACTGTTCGCAATGCCGTAGCCCAGGTTGCCTTGACGCGCGTGCGGACTGTCCGCGCTGTGACCCAGTGCCAAATAGGTGGTGGCAACGCATGCGAGCTGCGCCACTGGGGCCTTCGGTGGAGTTCCTTAAGGGCCACGAAGCGCGTGAGGGGTGTGTCGAAATGTGTGGGTTGAGCATGCAGACTGCGCAACCGAGACCCTCGGTGGAGCCCCCCATGGGGCCACGAAGCGTGTGAGGGGTGTGCCGACATGGGCGGCTGGGACGCATGCGGGCTGCGCTTTTGGGGCCGTCGGTGGAGCTCCATATACATGGGGCAGCGAAGCGTATGATGGGGTGTGCCAGCACGTGTGGCTGGGACGCATGCGGGTTGCGCCATTTGCGCCTCCGGTGGGGCTCCTCCCGGGGCCACGAAGCGTGTGAGGGGTATGCCAACACGGCGCGGGTGGCGCGGATCCCCGTGCGGGCGGCGCCCATGGGACCTTCGGTGGACCCCCTTTGGGGCCGCGAAACTTGTGCGTGGTGTGCAAAAATGCGCGGCTTGGACGCATGCGGGCTGTGCTGCGCCACTGGGGCCCTGGGTGGAGGCTCGATAGGGTGGCCACGAAACGTGTGAGGGGTGTGCCGGAATGCGCGGTTAGGACGCATGCGGGTTGCGCCAATGGGGCCTTCGGTGGAGTTCCCTATGGGGCCACCAAGCGTGTGCAGAATGTTCCGAAATGGGTGGCTGGGACGCATGCGGGCTGGGCTTCTGGGGTATACGGTGGAGCCCCCAGGGCCACGAACAGCTTGGGGGGTGTGCTGGAATCGTTGGCTGGGGCGCGTGCCAGCTGCGGCACTGCTTTTTGTGGAGCTTTCTACGGGGCCACGAACCCTGTGGGTGGTGTGCCGAACTGCGTAGCTGGGCCGTATGCGGGCTGCGCCGCTGGGGCCTTTGGTGGAGCTCCCAATGGGGCCAAGGGGCGTGCCGACATTTTAGCGTTTTGGACGCATGCGTGCTGCGCCACTAGGGCCATCGGTGGAGCTCCTTACAGGGCCACGAAACGTGTGGGGTGTCTGTGCCGAAATGGGCGATATGGACCCATGCGGGCTGCGCCACTGCGGCCTTGGGTGGAGTTTTTTTAGGGTGCCACAAAACGTGTGACGGATGTGCCGAGCTGCGCAGCTGGGACACATGCGGGCTGTTCCAGTGGGGCCTTCGGTGGAACTCCCCATGGGGCCACAAAACGCGCGAGTGGTGCTCCAGCGATCATGCTGATGATGATGGACATGAGGACGCGACGCCGGTATGATGCGATGCTGATACTGATGATGATGGTGACGATGATGGGGAGGAGGAAGACTTGGGAGGAGGAGGAGGAGGAGGACGGAATTCGAGTGGCGCAACACCACAGGATGGTTGTGAAAATTGCAAAACCGAGCCAGTGGCAACAACGGTTTTGTCGTTTCCGAGGCCAACCACACCTATCCCCCACCTCTTCGTGAGGTTACATGGTGTCGGGACCATTGCGTGGGCAGGTCCACCACTTAGCTTCCGATTTCACAGGCCAGCCCTAGAGTTTTGTTGAGTTCCTCCGGGACTGAAGCGAAAATCCTTTGGCCCTAGAGGTTCGTAGATCGAGGAGGCGAAAGAGGACC